TATAACATCATCATGTATTATACACTTAGCTTGTTCACTTAAATTATTTGGTAAGTTATATACTTGAAAAGGCAAATTATGGACCAAGATTCACCTAGCATGGTGGGCCTTGGTCTAAAACAACATCATTTTATATTAAGTATCAACTAGTGCAATATATTCAATATATAACATCATCATGTATTATACACTTAGCTTGTTCACTTAAATTATTTGGTAAGTTATATACTTGAAAAGGCAAATTATGGACCAAGATTCACCTAGCATGGTGGGTCTTGGTCCAAAACAACATCATTTTATATTAAGTATCAACTAGTGCAATATATTCAATATATAACATCATCATGTATTATACACTTAGCTTGTTCACTTAAATTATTTGGTAAGTTATATACTTGAAAAGGCAAATTATGGACCAAGATTCACCTAGCATGGTGGGCCTTGGTCCAAAACAACATCATTTTATATTAAGTATCAACTAGTGCAATATATTCAATATATAACATCATCATGTATTATACACTTAGCTTGTTCACTTAAATTATTTGGTAAGTTATATACTTGAAAAGGCAAATTATGGACCAAGATTCACCTAGCATGGTGGGTCTTGGTCCAAAACAACATCATTTTATATTAAGTATCAACTAGTGCAATATATTCAATATATAACATCATCATGTATTATACACTTAGCTTGTTCACTTAAATTATTTGGTAAGTTATATACTTGAAAAAGGCAAATTATGGACCAAGATTCACCTAGCATGGTGGGCCTTGGTCCAAAACAACATCATTTTATATTAAGTATCAACTAGTGCAATATATTCAATATATAACATCATCATGTATTATACACTTAGCTTGTTCACTTAAATTATTTGGTAAGTTATATACTTGAAAAGGCAAATTATGGACCAAGATTCACCTAGCATGGTGGGTCTTGGTCCAAAACAACATCATTTTATATTAAGTATCAACTAGTGCAATATATTCAATATATAACATCATCATGTATTATACACTTAGCTTGTTCACTTAAATTATTTGGTAAGTTATATACTTGAAAAGGCAAATTATGGACCAAGATTCACCTAGCATGGTGGGCCTTGGTCCAAAACAACATCATTTTATATTAACTATCAACTAGTGCAATATATTCAATATATAACATCATCATGTATTATACACTTAGCTTGTTCACTTAAATTATTTGATAAGTTATATACTTGAAAAGGCAAATTATGGATCAAGATTCACCTAGCATGGTGGGCCTTGGTCCAAAACAACATCATTTTATATACACAATAATAATATTTCAAGATATACACAATAATATATAAACAAAATTTCATAAAATTCCACATATACACACAACAATTCATAATTGACCCACTAACTTATAAAATTAAATATATACACAATTATTCCTAAAATTTCGAAAATATACACAATAATAATATATAAAATTCAAAATTCAAAAAATATATATACATAACCATTTTTAATTTATAATATATATATATATATATATATATATATATATATATATATATATATATATATATATACGTACGTACCTTGCGACAACGTTGTTGGCGACGGCGAGGACGGCGGCTTAGGGCGACGGCGAGGACGACGGCGAGCGAGGCCGAGGCCGAAGACGACGGCACTGTTGCGAGCGAGGCCGAGGACGACGTCGACGTGCGGAGAGCGAGGCCGATGGCAGTGGACGACGGCTTAGGCGGCGGTGGAGAGCATCGGTGGCGTAGGGCGTTCGGCGGCGGTGGCGTACGGCGGATGGAGCAGTGAGCTGAGGAGTGAGCAGTGAGCTAGGGCGTTTGGAGCAGTACGTGAGCTGGAGCTAGCTTCATAAATTTTTTTTGGAGTAAGTATGTACCTAGCTCGCTTCATAAATTTTTTTTTTTTAATTTATGTATACGGCGTCGGCGTTATACGACGCCGACGCCGTATACCATTTAAATATTTTTTTTTTAATTATAGTAAATACGGCGTCGGAGATTAATTCTCCGACGTCGTATCTACTATTTATTTTTTATTTTTTTTAAAAAATTCGAGTATATGGCGTCGGCGATATACGTCGCCGACGCCGTATACCATTTTAATTTTTTTTTAATTATACGATACGGCGTCGGAGATTTAACTCTGACGCCGTATCTCCTATTTATTATTATTATTTTTTTTAATTTGAGTATACGGCGTCGGCGTTATACGTCGCCGACGCCGTATACCATTTTTATTTTTTTTTAATTATTAGAGATACGGCGTCGGAGATTAATTCTCCGACGCCGTATCTACTATTTATTTATTTTTTTTTTAAATTCAAGTATACGGCGTCGGCGATATACGTCACCGACGCCGTATACCATATATATATATATTTTATTTGAGATACGGCGTCGGCAACGTATAACGCCGACGTCGTATCTCGTATTTATTTTTTATTTAATATACGGCATCGGCCATACCAAATAAACGACGTCATATGTATTTTTTAAAAAAATAAAAAATAATTTTAAATATTTAACCTCGGATTTTCAAAAAACCGACGTTATAATGTAGACGTTAAATCCGTTTTCTGTAGTAGTGTGCATAGTTGAGTTGATTGGTGACTGAGAGTGAACTAGAGTATAATCTTCATAAGATTTCTTACTCTTTTGTGGAGCTTCAGGAAAGGGATACCAACGAGAGGTGGGTGGATGGGATGAGTGCTTATTTGCACTTTTCAAGACCGTTATCCTTTCGTTTGCCAATCGTTTGGCTTGTTCCAGATAAAAAGCTTTCTTGGCCTGAGATTCGTTGACAGCATTGTCCAGAATCTCTTTTTCTATCAGGGTAGTCGAGTTTGGCATGGAGAATGTTACGTTGACCCTATCACCATCTTCCACAAGTTTTGTGATTGTGGCATTTGTGAGTTTGCTTGCTTCCAGAAGGTGGTGATCACGCCGAATAGCTCGTTTCTCGGCTTCGTCCATCTTTCCTTTGCCCTTATCTATACCTGCAAATGTTACTTACTAAAATACTAGATGTGTGAGAAAAGTACGTAGAAAATGAGCTTATACAAGAGTATTTGCTTGAGAGTAATGGTCGAGTGAAAAGAACCAGCACCTTCTAAGTTGATGAAGGTGGGTATTTATAGGTGTGGAAAATTTCATCCGTTGGAGGGAGATGAAATTTCAAACCTATTATCCATTGGGTAAGGACCGGGGAGCTTGACGCAATAAATGCTCCATTAATGCAGCTTGTACCATGTAGCCGTTGTAGACATGAACAACCTTAGGGTTTTTGTCTTTTAGCTTCTGAAGAATAGTACAGCTTCATTTAATGCTCCTTGGTATATGTGTCCTACACTTTAAGGTCCTTTTGTCACCATGATGGTTGATCAACTCAGACAGTAGAGACATTCTTCTCGTTATGGGAGAGAATGAATGTCTTAATAAATTTTCATAAAGATTACTCTCTTGTCGAGATGGTTGATAACCCGAGGTAATCTTTCGTTGTTGAAGCCGTTGGTCTCGTGCTCTTTGTCTCTTTTCGCTTTAGCAGACCTAACTAATGAACATAATCGTTTTTCGTGTGTTTGTCTAACTTAACACGAATTACAGGATGAGTTATGGCAACTTTCGTCTAGAACGAAAGCAGCGATGGAAATAACGAAAGTTAGGGGTCTACATTCTAAGTTACATTGGTATCATCAAAATCGTAATACAAGTGTTCCTAACATTATTCCTATACAAATTAAAATTACATAACTCAATATTCACAATTTTTGAACTCTATATTCACAATTTTAGAAGTGAATACTCACAATTTTAGATCTCAATATACAAAATTGCAGAACTCAATATTCACAATTACAGAACTCAATATTCACAATTGCAAAACTTTATATTCACAATTAGAGAACTCTATAATCATAATTTCTTAACTCTATAATGAATATTGAGATCTAAAATTGTGAATATTCAATTCTAAAATTGTAAATATAGAGTTCAAAAATTGTGAATATAATATGCAGTCGTTATATCGTAGACCGCGGTGCACATGCACCGTGGTAAAAAACGGAGCCGTTTCTTTAAGTAAAGAAACGGCCCGCCGTTACTGTTAACGGAGTCCGCATATTTGGTGTATTAAACACCAACTGACACTAAAGTACATCTAAACCGACACTGCATCACGTATTATTTTTATATTATCAAATGAAACTGCAGTTATATCAAAATGATACTGTAGTTGTGGTGAAATGAAACTGCAGTGTATATAAAATGAAACTGAATAACATTTCACATATTTGAGTGTATAGTATATAATGAAGCTGTAATTATATCAAAATGATCATGTAGTTGTGTTTTAATAAAACTATAGTGTATATAAAATAAAATTAAATAACATTTTCACATATTTGAGCCTATAAATATCAAATAAAACTGTAGTTATATCGAAATTAAACTGTAGTTGTGTTGAACTGAAACTGCAGTGTATACAAAATGAAACTGAATAACTGAGTTACTTTTTGTGGAATGGTGCGGAACGGCGGAAAACAAATGCTGTTTCTTTTCATTTAACAAAACAACGCCGTTTTGATGCGCAGTCCATAATCAATTATTCACCGCGGTGCACGATATAATTTGCCTATAATATGGATCCACCTTGCAAGGTGGACTCGATCCACAGCATATTTTGTCCCGTTAATATTGATTGGCCAAAAGGAAAAAATAAAAAATAAAAGAAAAAAGAAGAAGAAATAAATTATTACATTTAAAACCAATTATAAATTACGTTTGGGATTCAATTAAGCATCAACATTAAACTTACTTGCATTGGGTAGTTGTATATATCCATTAAATTAGATATTTAATTAATTTTATCAAATACAAAGTCTGTTAGCTGCATCCTGCTATAAATTAGCACAATTTTTGTGGATGGGGGCAGTCAAGAAAATTAAACAAACAGTTCTCAGAATAAAAAATAAAAAATTAATAATGGAGCAGTCATCATCACAAAGTAGTGCAGAGAGAGGTGAGGCCCAAAGGCAAACATTGCACCAAAGTGATGATGATCAAGGCACCTCATTCTGGAGGAGTTGTTTCAATCTCCTCAATACATTATCAGGTTAGATATATACTTCATCATAATTCACATTTCTTACCCACACTGCACCTTAAATATCATTCATCTTTGATCACCTCAAAAAGTGGACAAGAATTATATAAGGTTTAAAACTTTTTCAATTCACTTTTGTTGGTGGTGAACACAAAGCGATTCGAATTGTAATCAGGTGAAAGGGGTGAGTAAATATTTGATTAACCGTCCTATCACTGTCAATCAAAAATATAAAAGAGGACATAATTGAGGGTTTTTGGTCGATTTTGATTATTCGATTTTAAAAATTTTTGATTTTTCAGCTTATTCTCGACTGGGTAACCAACCATAATACAATGTTTAGTACTGTTCCGTGTGTATGTATATATTTTGCTAGCTTTTGTATTCAATGTGCATGTATCAGTGTACTATGTGAGAATATATATATATATATATATATATATACACGTCTTCTGATCTATGATACACACTAATGCACATACACCTGATTTGTGAAGTTACTGTGTATTGTTGATTAGATATATCATTAGTTATCATTTTATAATAATAATAATTTATTTACTGATTTGAACTTTGAAAATATATAGAATTCTACTAGTGCATATTTGAAAATTTTAGTTTTTAAGCTTAAAATATAAAATAATTTTTCTATTTTTATGTAATTGATAATCTAAATTTATTCGGTTTTTTGGGTTTTCCGCATAACCGACAACAGTTTGCTCACTCCTAGGTAAAAGGTGGTCACTAATAATGTTTTGTTGTATTGTATGTTGTTAGGTGTAGGGTTACTGTCTGTCCCTTATGCACTTTCAGAAGGAGGCTGGCTATGTCTCATAATTATGTTGTTAATAGCTATCTCATGTTTTTTCACTGGGCTACTTATCCAAAAATGTATGGACTCATCTTCGGAAATAAACACAAACTCTACATATCCAGATATAGGAGAAAGGGCATTTGGGAACAAAGGAAGATGGTTAATATCAACCTTCATGTGCCTTGAACTTTATTTGGTGGCAGTTGAGTTCCTTATATTAGAAGGTGACAATTTGGAGAAATTGTTCCCATATGCATATGTTCACCTAGGCAAGCTGAAACTTGGGGCCAAACAAGCCTTTGTTTTGCTAGTGGCATTGGTGATATTGCCGACAACTTGGTTGAGGAATTTAGGTTTGTTGGCTTATGTTTCTGCGGGTGGGGTGTTGGCTACTTTGGTTGTGGTTGGGTGCACCTTGTGGATTGGGGCTGTGGATGGTGTTGGGTTTCATGAGAAGGGAGAGATGTTGGGATCTTTGGGTGGGGTTATGAGAGCATTGAGTTTGTGCAGTTTTTGTTATGCTGGGCATTCTATTATTCCTCCACTTCGCAATTCTATGAGAGATAAGACCCAATTCTCTAAGGTAAATACTCTTTCACTCATTGTTTTCACCTAATTTAGGTTGATAAATTATTGTGAACAAGGAATTAATGGTATCGATCGAAACTGAACAATTATAGTATAGGAGTTCCATCTAAAGTGGTGAGCTCTTTTTTGGCGCGGCACTTCCTCCACCACCATGTCGGGTCAGGTACCGAGGTCATTGTGACAGAAATTGTCCCTTTTTGTTGGTTAAAAAAGAATTTTTTTTAAAAAGATTAAAGCTAGGAATAATAATTTATCTAATAAAGGATTAAGTCACAACGATTTAATTGCATGAAGTATGCAATGTTGCAAAAGGCACTAGTCGGGCGTCTGGAAGACGCCTAGCACCTAGAGTGTTTAGGCAGTTTCTAAGTGCCACTTAGGCGGCTGAGTAATTTGAGTATATCGTCTCCGATCCATTTTTTCCGCTCATGGTTAGGAGTTGTTAGACTGTTATAATTATCCAAACTAGTCAACTGCATATATATTAGATTGTTAGTTGAGTATATTGAGCACCGACTCAGACAAGTTAGGTGCTCAACTCGGCCGAATTAACACCTAGTTGGCCAGTTAACCAGTCAGCCGGCTAAAAGCCACATAGAACTAAAATCGCCTTGGCCTAGAGGCACTTAGGGCCTAGGTCGATTTTTACAACATTGGGAGAGTATCCAAGTTTTAAGCTAAGGCATTATATTATTCCCACCTTACTGGCGCATGCAATGCAGGTTCTAATTTTTGGCTTTGCTGTAAGCACCCTAACCTATGGATCAATGGCAATTCTGGGCAACCTCATGTACGGACAACATTTGCACTCGCAGGTGACATTGAATTTCCCAACCAACAAAACATCCTCAAAAGTAGCCATCTACACCACCGTGGTGAATCCCATAACCAAGTACGCCATTATCGTCACCCCCGTTGCAACAACCGTGGAAGACGGGATCCAAGCTTTATCCCGTCGTAGATGGGATAATAATGTAGCTGTGATAATAATGTTGACGGCGAGAACTTGTCTGGTCATCAGCACCGTCGTTGTTGCATTAACGGTCCCGTTGTTTGGTCCGATCCTGGCATTCGTTGGCGCGTTCTTGAATGTGACATTGTCGTTTCTGTTCCCCTGCGCATGCTACCTCAAGATCAACGCAGGTGCTCGGAGATTTGGGATAGAGTTGTGTATTATTCTCATGATTTTAGGTTTGGGATCATTAATTTTTGTTGTAGGAACCTATATTTCTATTAGAGATATTATTCGAGGTATGAGTCATTAGTATTATTTTACAATGTAATACTTTGTATGTAATATTTTTCACTTGAGACCCTTAACTTTTTCAAGTTAAGAGTTAAAATTTGCTGCATAATGAGGATGCATGTATGCATCATTACCAAACTCATCCGATCTATCGTCTCAACTGAATAATGTTTCACGCAAGTTGGGTCATATATATATGTGTGTGTGTGTGTGTAGAATTGTAGAAAGGGTGTTAACGTAGATACTACTCAAGTAACAACGAAAGCAAGAAAGATATGCTGCTGATCTTGCACGTACATTTAATTTTGGCCGTTGTCATATATATATATATATATATATATATATATATATATATATACTAATAAGAGCCAAGAGAGTTAGGCCTATAATGGGTAGAAAAAAAAGAAAATGAAAAAATCTTCTCTCTAAAAAGTTTCTCTCCAGAAGTTGCTATCTATTTGGTAAGTTACCGGTGGCTACCACCGTCCGTGGAGTTTCCTTCCATGGACACTGCGGTTGGAGATCTGCCGCCGACCTTCTCTCCGATGGGGGAGGGGGAATCAAGTAGGGTTCCTCACTCAGGGAAACGAATCAAAATCCTTAAGCGCTCCTTCGCCGAAACCGTAGCTGTAGCCCCGTCCATGGCCGACGACGAAACCATGTTGGATGAAGTTGACAACGACTGGCTGGACGAAGAAATCGTAGTGCGATCTGACGAAGGGCTTGAGGATGTTAGGGAGGGGATTCCCGTCGTTAAGTTCTCTAAAGCTGAGAGGGAAGAGATGATTAAACCTTGGAAAAGAGCTTTAATCGTGAAATATCTCGGTAAACCTCCGGCCTTCAACTTACTAAAACAACGGTTGTTCTGTCTATGGAATATTAACGGAAAAGTCGAGATGTTGGACATTGGCGGGGGATGCTATGTGCTACGCTTCACTCTTGCGGCAGAGTACAGCCATGTCCTTTTGGATGGCCCTTGGAAAGTCTTCAACTGCTACGTCATCCCTCAAAGATGGCAGCCTGACTTTGATCCCTATACAGCAAAAATGGAAAAAATGGCTGTTTGGGTTCGGTTCCCAGGCTTGCCGGTGGAATACTTCCTCGATGGTTCGGTCAAGAAGGTGCTGAAGTTAATCGGGAAACCGATCAAACTTGATACGACCACAGCCGAGGTAGATAAAGTCAAGTTCGCAAGGGCGGCGGTAGAAATTGATCTTCTGAAGCCCCTGGTTTCGATGGTATGGGTTAGTGACAGAGTTCAACGGGTTGAGTTTGAAGGTCTCCATGCCATCTGCTTCGACTGTGGTGAAGTAGGGCATGTATCATCCAAATGCCCGAAGAAGGTGGTGGTGGATACGCAACCGCAAACTCCCCAGGAACCAGAAATAACGATGGAAACAGGTGGCACAGAGGAGGTGGCGCCTGCAGAAAAAGTTCGTGAAAAATACGGTCCTTGGATGATCGTCTCTTACAATAATGACAAACTCCATAGTAAACACCGTAGCATGAACACCAAAACCAATCCCAAACCTCCCAAAAGCAAGGAGGCGGGCAACAAAAATAAGAAGGTGGCAGCAGGTGGACGTCCTCCTTCTACAAACCAGTCCGCCCCTACGAAAAACAAGGTAAGTATTGCTCCTTCTCCAATTCCCCTTCCAGTTAGCAATGGGTTTTCTGTTTTGCAGGGAATGGAGGAACTCCACGAGACCCCGGTTTATGTGGAAGGGGAAACCAGTACGGGTGTCAAAAATAAAGAAGGTCGCCCCTTTCAGAAAAAAAATAATAATAAAAAAGGTCCAAAGCAGGTGACTAAGTCAAGCAAGGACCGGAGTAAAACGGGCAGTGCATCTATACAAGGACAAACGTCCAATGGGGATGCTCTATTTAAGCAGCCCTCAGCTGGCCAGAATGTCTCAGCAGCTCCTTTTGTGTTTGGTATAGCTCCCAATGGGAACAATGGTCCCCAACCTTCAGCGGGGGCATCTTTTGTCACTACTATTGTGTCTACGCGTAAGGAAGGCGGTGGCCAAACTTCCTTGCCTTGCAATGGTGGTCAATGATAGCGGTCGCTTGGAATTGTCGGGGTGTTGGGAACCGAGAGACTATACGCCACGCGAAAATCCTTTTAGCCAATAAGGATGTGGGGGCAATCTTCTTTCTGGAGACCAAGACCAATAAGGCCGACAACCTTCTCAAAACGCTTAGTAAGTTGGGTTTTCATAACTCGTTTATGGTTAATACCATTGGTTTTGCAGGAGGGCTTCTTTTAGCTTGGAACAAGGACATCCTGAATCTTGAAGTGGTCGGGAGCAATTCGCAAACCATCCATTGCAAAGTTTTGGAGGGTGGAAGTTTGCAGTTTCATCTCTCGTTTGCCTATGTTAGACCTAACTTGAGGGCTAAGGAACTTTTTTGGTCCGAATGTAAAGCCTTTGGGGCCTCCAGATCAGGACCATGGGTGATACTCGGGGACTTCAATGACATTGCAAATATTTCGGACCACTGGGGAAGTGATCAAATCAACATGAATAACATGACACGATTTTGTGAGGCTTACGAAGAATGTGGACTTATGGAGGTTCCTTCGACATGTCCAAACTTTACGTGGATCAGACAAATTGGAGGGTGCACGGTCACCAGGCGTAGACTCGACCGTGTTTTTTGGAACATTGATGCTCAAGAAGCTTTCCAGGAAGCCAAGGCAAGGGTCTTGACAAGAACGCACTCAGATCACCATCCGATATCCTTCGTGAGGGTGGCTGGAGCAGCCCCCAACCGCAGGAATAGGCCCTTCAGATTTGAGGCGGCATGGCTCGCTCGTGAAGACTATAGAGCTATCTGGAAGAAAGCATGGTCTGACAACTCCTACAATGTGGTGAGAGCTATCTATGATGTTACCCACCTTAGTAGGAAATGGAATGAGGAAGTTTTTGGGAATATTTTTAGAAGAAAGAGGCTCCTACAAGCTAGGATCCAAGGCATTCAGATGTCCCCCTGGTATAGCAGATCCCAAGGGCTTCAAGTGCTGGAGAGAAAGCTCTTATCCGACCTCAGCATAACTCTTTCTCAAGAGGAACTTCTCTGGTTCCAAAAATCCAGAAAGGCTTGGATTCAGGATGGTGATAAAAATACTAACTTCTACCATCGGTCCACCATCATCCGTAGGAGTAGGGGAAGAGTCAGGTCCCTAAAAATCAACGGGGAGTGGAATTCTGAGCCCAACGCTCTAAAGGAGCACGTATCTCATTTCTTTTATAACCTTTTCTGCAGGGTCAATCAAGATGGGTTGAATACCCCGGACACTCACTCAGGACCGAGGATTAGTAGGGAAGAAGCCGAAAGCCTTATTAAACCGGCTGATTCTCACGAGGTCAAAAAAGCTGTCTTCGGGATGAAAAGAATGGGCAGCCCGGGACCAGACGATATTCAGGCGGCCTTCTACCAAGATTATTGGGATGAGGTAGGTAACAGTATCACCATGTTTGTCAATGAGGCCTTGGCTACAGGTAAGGTACCTATAAGCTTTCTCGAATCCTTCATTACCCTTATTCCTAAGAAAACTAACCCAGAAAGTGCTGCAGACTTTCGTCCCATCACTTTACTCAATGTCATTTTCAAAATTGTTTCAAAAGTGTTGGTGAACAGGATGAGACCTATAATGATTAATCTGGTTGGCCCACACCAGAACAGCTTTCTCCCAGGTAGGTCCACGATGGATAACATCGTTCTTACTCAGGAGGTGATGCACAGTATAAACCAAAAGAAAGGTAAGAAAGGTTCTTTGGTGATGAAGATTGACCTTCACAAGGCCTACGACAGCATTAATTGGGGGTTCCTAAAAACGGTCCTCTCTGATTTTGGGTTCCCACTGCGTTTTATCAATCTGATTTTATTTTCCCTCAAAGAAAGTACTATAAGCATCCTTTGGAATGGAGAAAAGCTTCCCCCGTTTGAATCAGGTAGAGGGCTGAGACAAGGCGACCCACTTGCCCCTTATCTTTTTATTCTTGCTATGGAAAAACTGTCGTATCTTATTCAGGAAAAAGTGCGGGAGAAAGATTGGAAACCGATTCATTTAGCGCGAGGGGGAATTGGTGTTTCTCACCTCTTCTTCGCTGACGATTTAATGATTTTTGGTGAGAGCTCTGAAACCCAAATGGCTACCATCATGGACTGCCTCAACAGATTCTCTCATTGGTCAGGTCTGAACATCAACCACACTAAATCCCTTATTTTTTGCTCTAATAACACGCCAAACAGAGTTAAAAGAAGGATGGGTGACATGGCAAATATCCCGATCACTGAAAACCTGGGTAAATACTTGGGTATTCCCATTCTTCAAAAAAGGGTAAGTAAGAACCACTTTAATTACATCATCAACAATATGAAGAGGAAGTTGAACCAGTGGAAAGCCGAATCCCTTAGTCTAGCAGGGCGACGAGTGCTTGTGCAATCCGCCCTCGCAACTGTTCCGGTTTACACCATGCAAACGGGGGCTCTACCGGTAAGTACTTGTAACGATATTGATAAGCTTTGCAGGGACTTCCTCTGGGGATCCAACGAGGCAAAAAGAAAAATCCACTTGATCAATTGGAAGGAAGTTTGCAGTCCTAGAACTCAGGGAGGTCTTGGACTCAGAATGGCCAAAGATTTTAATTTAGCTCTTCTGGCTAAGTTGGCGTGGCAAATCCTCAACAATCCAGAAAAGCTTTGGGTGAAAGTCATGAGACAAAAATATATCAAAGATGATAATTTTTTCACCGCCAACACCCCAGCCAACGCTTCGTGGACCTGGAGGAGCATCATCAAAGGGCGGTCTATTATTGAGACGGGGGCCCGGTGGCGAGTAGGAAGTGGTGATTCCCTTGATTTTTGGTCTGATTGGTGGGTTAGTGACAAACCCATTGGCCTCGGAGCAACTGTCAACATCCCTAATCACCTATGCAACGTAAAAGTCAGCGAGTTCATCACTCAACAGCGCACCTGGGACGTGAACCGCTTGCTGGACTTCTTGCCGCCCGATCTGGTTAACCAAATTCGAGCAATCCCGATACCTATTGACGACACAACGGAAGATAAACTAACCTGGCCAGACAAAACTATAGGTACGTTCTCTGTACTCTCTGCTTTCAAACACATTGCAGGTCACTCAACAGAAGAGGAAAGCTGGGATTGGATGTGGAAGCTAAACTGCATTGAGAAAGTTAAATCTTTCCTTTGGCTGTTGCTGAAAGGCAAACTACTCACTGGAGTGGAGAGAAGAAATAGGAATCTCACCACCGACGCCTCTTGCAAACGGTGCCCGGACGAAGACGAATCGACGAATCACATTTTTAGGACCTGCCCCTTCGCGAGTGACTGCTGGAGATCGGCGAAAGACTACGGTGGAACAGATGTAGCAATTTTCAGACCTTTCAACTCTTGGATCAAAGATAACTGCAGTAGCAAGAGAACAACAAAGGATGGTGCACCCTGGAATGTCACTTTCGTCTACATTCTTTGGCTGATTTGGAAAGCAAGGAACAACTTGATTTTTAATAACAAAGCTGAGTCTCATGTACGGATCTTAAACACGGCTCTTTCTATGGCTAAAGAAGCAACAGAATACATCGTGAAGCACGTCGGCGTGATGCATGGATACTGGAAGTGGGTCAGATGGGAGCCTCCTCAGCCGGGCTGGCTAAAGCTCAATACGGACGGAGCCATGAAGTCTAGTACGGGGATTGCTAGTGCTGGGGGGGTTATCCGGGATGAACATGGTCGTTGGGTGAAGGGTTTCTCAACGAAAGTTGGAGCTACTGATAGTTTCTCAGCGGAGCTGTGGGGCCTAAGGGAGGGTCTACGGCTCTGTTTGAGTGAAGGGATTGAAAAGATTTGGGTGGAAATGGACTCGGCGACAGTTGTTGCAATCATGAACAATGGGACCTGCAAGGGAGAGACAGTCGTTGCTTTAATTAAAGATTGTTTCGACCTCATCAACAAGTTTAATACGGTTAGAATCTCTCATATTATGAGAGAGGGGAACCAATGTGCAGATTGGCTTGCAAATTTTGGGCAAAATATAGACTGGGGAACTCGTGTTTGGAACTCATCCCCCTCGGATCTCAACGCTTTTATGGACGCCGACACTCGCAGCAGGCCGGTTCCAAGGATCAGATAACGCCTTCAGTTGAGGGCGGCAAATGCACCAAAAAAAAAAAATAATGGGTAGAAAAAATGGCGGTCAAATTTTTTAATCAAATGAATGGCTGATCAGATTTTAATTTTTCCTTAAGATTTCCTAATTTATCCTTAATGAATATGATTATCCGTTAACTTTTCCGTTAAATATTATCTTTTCCATTAATTTCTGTTAGTTCACTGTTAACTTACTCATTAATTTTAATAAAAAAGGTCTTAGGTTCGAACCCCATCCCAATCAAAGTTGGCATAATTAGTACTCTATTTTACTCTTATTAAATTAAAATAATAATTTAGTAGATATAACAAAAAATAATACATATGCATTTATTTAATTTAGAATTATGTGTCTACAATGTCTATATTCAAAAAAAAAAAATTATTCATTATCAATAAATTAAATAAGAGAAATAATTTCATTAGTTATATTGTCTTTATTTTTCTCCAATATAAAAATTCTTTACATTCAAACTTATCAATAGACTAGTTTTTTACGCGCATTGCGCGATTGAGATAATGCCCAATGTTTTTTTTAAATAAGTACTATAAAGTATATCAAGGTAACTACTTTAAGTCATTTTACATGTTAATCTAAACAGTTAATTTTTTGAAATATCTTTTTACCAACCGTTGATATAATTCGCTGGTCGAATCCGCTGATATAATCCGTTAATGCTAACCGCTAATTTCTAATTGTCAAACAAGGACATTGCGAGGTAGTTCTCACTTCAATTTGTTGTGTGATTTTAATACTCTCTTTGTCAACAAATCCTTCAAGTAGTTAATATGATTGACTTTATTAATTTTATTTTTTTTATTATTATTTTTTTATATATTTAAGTACTATAAAATATATCAATGCAAGATTATATTAGAATTGTTCATGCATAGATAATTAAATGTTGAATTTGAGTATTTAAATAGGTAATTCTAAGTTTACAAATGCAAGATAATATAGTCAAGATTAATTATAATTGGGAGAAGATTAATTATAATTGTCAATAAAATAGTTGTATGCGTATGGTTGAAACCAAATACGGGAAATAATGGAGAGCAAATAAAAATTAGGGTATAAAATATTAAATATATACTAATATTGAAGGGCTAACTGCTGATTGCTAAACAAGGACATTGCAAGATAGTTTCCAACCTCAATTTGTTGTGTGATTTGAATACTCTTTTTGTCAATAAATCCCCCAAGTAGTTAATATGATTGACTTAATTATACCTTTTTTTTTTAATTTTGTTATTATTATTACTAGTGTTTGACCCGTGCGATGCACGGGATGTAAATTACATAAACATTAAATATGTTTATGTTATGTTAAAAATTGGTTGAAGCAATACAGTAAGAATTTGGTATATATAATCATTCATTATATTTGGAAGATCAACAAAAACCATCTCAAAATGGTATGTTAGAAATAGTATAAAGGTGATGGTAATATAAAAATAATACATTAGAAAACTACAAATTATTGAAAACTTCATGATATACAACATTAGTGGTTGAGGTTGTAGTTGAACTTGAGTCTTTTGCTATCAATATTTTGAGACCGTCTGGATTATTAACCCGAGATGCAGCTACGTACAACTGACCGTGTACAAAAACCGGTTTCTTTAGTACTAAACCTACATGGGTCAACGTTTGGCCTTGACTTTTGTTTATGGTCATCGCATATGAAAGCATCAATGGGAATTGCCTTCGTTGAAACTTGAACGGCAATCTTGGATCCGAGGGTGCCATTGACATTCGGGGGATTAACACTTTTGTACCTTTGTTGGGACCAGTCAGGATCTCGCCTTCAATCACATGATCTGCTAGCTTTGTGATTATCAACCGAGTTCCATTGCACAAACCAAGTAAATGGTCAATATTTCTCATTAACATTACTGGTGATCCGATTTTCAAGGTCAGTGTATGATTTGGTAGACCTGAAACCCGAATGCTATTTAGAAACTCCGGTGTGTGTACGTCTCCAAATATACCGTTATCGCCATCGGCTTTGCATACTGCGTCTGAACTATAGTATGACCTACTTTCGGCATTGTGCAACTCAGTCATATAGTCATTAACAGCGTTGACAACGTCGAGCGTCGGTGCTAATATGGCACGACCCAACAGGTGCTCGGGGTCAGTGTTCCCACTTGCAAACATAGGAAATGTACTGTGCACAATTGCTTTAATGTCGTCCCCCCCGGATGATACTAACATGTGCGTTGGTATTTCAATTTCTGCAAACCCGTTATTCTGGCCACCAAGCTTCCCATCGCCAATATTGGCAATCCAGTCAGCAAACTCTTGTAATGCATGCCGGTTTCCACCATTTGGTACCGAGCTGAGCCTGAGGTTTTTAGTCAACCTTAAGACTTTGCAAGTATCCCATAGGTATGATGAATTGATCGCTGAAGAAACAATGTCTTGTCGTGTACCTTTGGGAATTACTGGAAGAATTTGACGGAAATCTCCACCCAGTACAACTGTTTTACCACCAAACGTCTTCATTTCACTATTAGGTTCTACAAAACGCAACAAACCGCGCATGGTTCTATCTAAAGCTTCAAAGCAATGTTTATGCATCATGGGAGCTTCATCCCAAATTATCAAGCTCGTCTTGATCAGCAACTCAGCCAGGTCGCTACCTTGCTTAATGTTACAGGTAGAGTCCTCATTTATTGCAATAGGTATTGCAAACCTCGAGTGTGCAGTCCGGCCACCTGGTAGCAACAAAGAAGCTATGCCACTTGAAGCGACATTTAAAACGATTTGTCCTTTGCATCTGACTGCAGCTGATAACGCTCTCCACAGGAAAATCTTTCCTGTTCCACCATAACCATAAACAAAAAATAAGCCACCCTTCTTGTTCTCAATATCTTTGATAACAGTATCATATATGAGACCTTGTTCTTCAGTTAGTTTGGCACAAAGGACCTCAGAATCTGCCTTCAACTGTTCCGAATCGTACGACAACTCTTCAAACACCAATCACATGATTAGTGTGGGGAATTTTGATAAGCACAATTTATATGTTTAGTTTAGATTAGTTTTTATAATAATTTAATTTTATTTATTTAATAATATATTTGATTTAAACTTTATTTTATATTTTGAACTAATATAGTAATTAGTTGAATAATTAGGCTTAATATTTATATTAATAAGAATTGGGCTTAGTTAATGATTTGGGCTAAGTATTTTCTTTTTATTGTTTTAACTAGTAGCCCAAATAAAATAATTTAATTGTTTTAATAGCCCAAAATCCTATCTAACTCATTTTCCTTTTCTATTGAATTAGAGCTCTATGCGTAATGTGTACGTAGAGTTCAGAGCAGCGCGCAGAAAGTGAAGAAGACTCCGTCCGCGACCTCTGCGACCTCTGCAATTAATTTCATCCGCAATTTAATTCGATGAAGGAGTCCACGGTTGATCAATTTTTGCGGCAGCTGCAGACGGCTTCATTGAGCTACATCCACGAACCAGTTAATTGAATTAGAGGTTAGAGCAGGAATAGCCTACCTTGCTAATTTTCTATGGTTAGAAAAAATAAAGTTTATTTATTTTTTAGGTTCTATGTGGTTCAAGAAATTGATTTAGTTTGTGGATGTTAGAGAAGTTAGGGTTATGTTGAGTTGATTAGGGAGCCTGAACTAGTATAAATATGGCTGGATTTTTCAGTAGAGGGAAGTCAGTTTTCTCAGAATTATTTTATTTACTTTGTAAACACTCCCTGCAATGTACTGCTGAGTTTTAATTTTCCAATTCAAGGATTATTGAAGTTTGATTCTACAAGACCAGTGAGATTTATTTAGCTTAATTTTATTCTCTGAACTCTTTATTATTTATATATCTCCTGTTATATGAGTTTTAATTATTGCTTGATTAATTGTTGCAAAAGGGCCCTTTGTTCAATTGTCAAAGTATTAAATTGCTATTTAGAACTTTGAATCCGTAATTGTTTAAGTGTTCTAAAGCTAGTAGCAAATAACATAGTTGATTATAAATAGATTTTCAATCTTATGTTATGGAGATGTATAATCTAGTTTAAATAGACCGAGCTTGCGAGTCTGTTGGTTAGAATTGGTAGTCTTTCTAATTCTTTTAATGCTGTTAGTAAATTAAATCCTAAGAGCTTGTTTAGGGTTGTTTATTAGCTAGGGAAGTAATCAAAGAGCTTGTTTTGATTATCGACAAAGTAAGGAAAGATAGGTTATTAGAGCTTGTTAATAACCATAACCAATTTGGTAAAGAGTAAAGTAATTATTTCTTGAAAATCAATGATCTATCTTGTTAGAATTGAATTGATATTATTCCTTGAGTTGGATACTAGTTGCTATTGATTATTATTATTATTTGATATTTCATATTGATTGCCTTTTTATGGATGCTATTTAATTTTCAATTCTCATCTCTTCCTTTATTAAATCTTTGATTAAAAATAAGTCTGACCAATCTCTGTGGGTACGACCTTACTCATCACTATTGCAAATCATAGAGTAAGTAATTTATTATTTGTTGGTTTCGACACCCATCAGATGTACCTAAAATATGAGCGTAAAATATGCCCATCAGTAATTGTCTTGTTAAGGGCATGTTCTACCTTTTGTCCTAAACTACTACTTGTAGCAGCATTACACCTTTGTAATAGCACTTCATACACAATTAATACAATATTAGTCCCCGTGACTATGTTCGTACCCCTATTTCGTTTAATTATATATTTGTTACATTTATTCGGGTTAATTAATCCAGACCCCCGGTTTAATTAATTCCAACATTGGTGCTCTTGTTGAGAGCGGCTGTACAAGCTTGAGTGTGCTCTCTACTTTTTGTCTAAAATTACTACCACGATAAACTATTTTCCAATCGTAAAACATGGATCAAATCACCCTGTCCAAAAACTTGTTCTTGTCATTGTCCGTCCGTTGCTCGCACTCCAGCGCAATGTGCACTATCCATGCCTATATTCTTCCGCAGTGTCTGAGTTGCATGGCCATTTTCCACTACCAGTTGTTATATTTTCCAACATGCAGAAATAAAAACTATGATCAAAGCTAAGTTCCAAATAAGATCTAGCCTGACGATAGGCTTCAGGTAGCCCCAATTGCTCTGCCTCTCCTTGATATGCTTCGTTGCCGCCTCGCACAACCGCATCGATGGTCCACGCATCATCTCCGATCACTGGCTTGCCGCCGCCGGAACCGAGCCACCCGTTGTAGGCCCGAAAAATGGCGCATGATAGCATGAATCGCCGGCCATAGAAGATCTGGTCTTTAAGCAATGGCATCGTGTCCACTCCATGCCCGCCGCCACAACTCTGCAAATCTTCAATAGGTAATACATAACCGATTTCATGGTCTCGGCGGAAAGCTCTTCAATGACGGGGTCATGGCTTCTTCATCAGCATCTGAGCATTTTGGAACCTGTTCTTTCCTGATGGGAACATTTTGGGTCTCATTATTAATTCCCTGCTGATTCAATTCGAAAATTTGACACAATCCCCATCAGAACAACAAATTAAGGATCTCCCTCGATCTTCTTCGCGTAGTCCATAGTGACCTTGATGGTTTTTCCAGGATGCGTCCCAGAGACCATCTGCCGCCCAGTTTCTTGTCCTTCGCGGTATGACAGTGCTTGTTCGGATCATAAACCACAACAGCGCGGCGTTGTCTGCCTTCTGTGAGCGTGAAGCCATGGTGATTGGCTCAACTCTAAGGAGCCTCTTCGTGTCCATGCGAGCGGAAGCCGAGGCCAGGTGATAAGCCGAGCGCAGCGACTTCACAGGCGCGCACCACATGTTGTCCTCGGCTCGGGCTTCGCTGCTGCAGTTTGGATCCAGCCTAACATCGGCGACCGGAAACAGCCCCAGGGGCGCTAATGGCTCAAATCCAAGATCGCGATGGGGCGACGATGCTTCAGACCTTAACCTCAATAAACTTCTCATATGAAGAAATTGTTGTTGTTGACGATGAGTGTGGCGAACAAACCGGAACTTCCGCCCCTTTGCCCGGGCAGTTGCGGGAGTTTCGGGTCGCATGAAGGAGGTGCGAAGTGGAGCGCTTCGATCTCTCTATCATGTATCTGCAATTATGTTACTTCAAACACAGTGTCCACGGCTTGGGCAGAATGTCGGATGAAGCATTATCATTATTCATATCACAACGCCACCGCCGGAAGTGGAGCCATCTACATCGCTCTCCGAAAGCGGCACAGCGAAGATGGCGAGACTCTGCGACAGTGCCCGCAGCGGGGGAGGCAGTTAGACTGAAGCGGGGTTCTCTAAGGAAGCCCCGGCGTAATCGCAGCTGCAAGTTGGAATAAATCAGAATAGCAGCAATGTCTGCCATTGTGACAAATACAACTGTAGAGATTGTGGTTCTTAACAATGTTATTGGGTCTGTTTATGGGAGAATGGCAGCAATTTGGAATGCATGTGAGAGATTTCTGGGGCAAAGGCGATGATGTGTGAGGCACATCCGGCATGGAATAGTGGAACTAGTGACCGGAATATTGTGATCTCTTTGAACTCTTGATGAAACTCTAACCGCTTAGAGCCTGCTTCAAGCATTTTTTGGATCACTGTGATAACTCCCTGGCAGTTTTTAACCTCACTATGAACCCGTTTTATCATGCTCAAAGTGACGTAGCAGCAACAAAACACTTCCACCAGAAAGTATATTGGAGATGGATATTGGACCGGAGCATCGCCACCCCTTTGCAATTCAGAGAAATGCCGATTGAGATAAGTCTAAATGTATATGTGGTGATGCATCACTTGCAAGGCTCAGATTAATGACTGCGATCACCAAAGATTTATGGCTTTTCTTGCAATTACACACCTTATCTCATAGCAGGCTCCACAGTTTTCTGCATCACTGAAGAATATTAGGCTCAGAGCCGCCATGCGTGGGGAATAAATTCACTTAGCTTGTATTCCTCAAACCTACAAGCTCTGCTAATGATGCCCTCAAGGGAACCATGAAGGAGGCATGAACCTCTATGTCATGGCAATAATGTGGAACGAGCTACGCTAAAATCGGTTTTAAAATCATACAAAGATGGAGAATCCAGAGGAATTGAATAAGCTTGTGCCGTGGAAAAGCATGGTTTGTTAACTTCCTTTGCTACTATTATTATTAATATTAATATTAATTAATATTAATACTGTTATTATTGTTTTATTATTATTACTGCGAGGTCCGACCTTGCTTAGTAGCACTAATAAGTGTGATAACCAATCCTATCCGTGGTCGCGGCCGTGCGTGCCGGCCCCGACCTTGGCATTCACTAGTGGTGGAACCGGGTCCGCCCATGCTCACTCCATGATGGAGGAACCTATTATTGACTTATTACATATACGTTGGTCCGTCCAACGATGCGAAATTAGTTCGAGTTACGATCGATTCTGATTGCAACAGTAAAAAAAAAAAAAAAAAAAAAAAACCACGTAGAATGAGAGGGAACGAGTGCTCACCCGTTCTCTCCCCCGCGGACCCTAAGGGGGCACGGGGTCCGACCTCGCGTACCAACCCCGACGGAGGACGCACCCTAAGGGGCCACGAGGCCCGACCTCACGTACCAACCCGACGGAAGAGCCCGGTGGCTTGGTCCGACAGGACTCGGCCTGAGCGGCTAGCGCGCACCCTAAGGGGGCACGAGGTCCAACCTCGCGTACCAACCCCGACGGAGGAGCCCAGTGGCTTGGTCCGACAGGACTTGGCTCGAGTGGTTAAGCGCATCCTAAGGGGGCACGAGGTCCGATCTCGCGTACCAACCCCGACGGAAGAGCCCGGTGGCTTGGTCTGGAAGGACTTAGCTCGAGCGGCTGACGTACCCTAAGGGGGCACGAGGTTTGACCTCGCGTACCAACCTCGACGGGAGAGCCTGGTGGCGTAGTCTCATGGGACTACGTTAAAGAGGCTAACACAAGGCAAAAGAAAAAAAAAAAAAAAAAAAAACAAAAAAACAAAATCACGCGAGCAAGAATCTACTAAACGACCCAGTGTCGTCCAAACAGCCCGCTCTCGAACGGAGAGAACTCAGATCACGGATTTTAGTGCAAGGCTAAAAGTTTTAAAGGTGTTGAAATAAGCAAATATTTTCATTCAAGTTGACGCTGAAGCATTCATCCAAGCATGGAGCCTCGAAGCGGCTTCGATTGGGCCAAATGTTTACTCTCTCTCGTTGTCGACTTCTCGCAACTTAGAGAGTGGGGGACTGATGATGGATATATTGGAAATGGCCCAATAATAATAGAGACCCGGGTTCGGGAATGTATAACCCGAGTAGCCCAAGAAGAGTCTCAAGCCCGGAGCTTACCTCCGGGCCCAGAACAATGGGCCTTGACTTAGTCTCACGGTCCACCACATGGGCTTGGATTTGGTCCCGCGGCCCTCCACGAATTTAGCCGTAGTTGGTTGGAATTTCCTTTGCATAAATACCTTAGTAATTGTCTTGTTAAGGGCATGTTCTACCTTTTGTCCTAAACTACTACTTGTAGCAGCATTACACCTTTGTAATAGCACTTCATACACAATTAATACAATATTAGTCCCCGTGACTATGTTCGTACCCCTATTTCGTTTAATTATATACTTGTTACATTTATTCGGGTTAATTAATCCAGACCCCCGGTTTAATTAATTCCAACACCCACATTGATGGGCAAGCAATTATGTTTTTAAGATGAGCATTGCTCCTCTAATAAGAGCTCCTCTTTCCAAACATTTTCGATGTTGGATCAAAGTGATCTCACATCATTTACAAATGGGGGTCATTTGTCTTCTTCTTCTTCTTCTTATATTACGAATACGAAAGTACAAAACAATATTTTTATTAGAAAGAGAGATTTTTTAGGAATTGGACGGAAAGTTAAAGTTCATGATTTAGTTTTTATATATAGTATAGATTAGAATATGAATTGTATTACACTATTTTATAATATAAGAATATGAACTTTCTCACATGCTCTGTCGGGTCGGAGTGTGGGGGCCCTTAGGGTTGGGGATTCAATCTTTTGGGACAAGAATATGAACTCTAACCTAGAATTATAGTACGAATAGGAAAGTAGAAAACAATATATTTTTATTAGAAAGAGAGATTTTTTAGGAATTGGGCGGAAAGTTAAAGTTCAGGATTTTGTTTTTATATACAAGTATAGATATACATTAGAATAAGAATTTTAACCTATAATTATAGTACGAATAGGAAAGTAGAAAATTACATATTTTATTAAAAAGAGAGACTTTCTAAGAATTGGGCGGGAAGTTAAAGTTTTTATTTTTATATATAGTATAGATTAGTGTTATTTTACAATGTAATATTTTCTTTCTAGACCCTTAGCTTTTTCTCTTTTTTTTTTGAATGCTACTAGCTCTATTACATTGTAGTATCTGTTCATATACTTTCTCAACCTACTGAAACACAAAGAGCTAATAACGCCTCCATTGAGGCTCGAACTCACAACCTTCCAAATGAAAGTCTAACCCGGATATCATTGGACCACATAGTCCTGGTAGACCCTTAGCTTTTTCAAGTAAGCTAAAAGTTAAAAATTTACATGAATGTTTCATGCATGACGCAACTGAATGTTTCATGCATGACGCAACTGAATGTCAATTTACATGTATGCATCATTATCAAACTCGAATGAATGTTTCACGTAGGCATAACTACGGTTCGATTTGGTTCGAACAAAATCGTGCACTATTAAACTGGGATCGGGACTGAACCGTTTGTACAGTTCCGATTCCGGTTAAGGTCTCGTAATAAAGGGATTGGAACCGTCAGTTCCAAACCAAAAATAAAAATAAAAAATCATAGCTTTTTTTTTTTTTTTTGAATAAATCCAATTAAAACCGGTGATTCAAACCGGAACCGGAACCTTACTATAAGGTTCCGATTCTGGTTTGGCCCTTTGCGGAATCAGAATCGGCATGCAGTTTCGAATCGGAACCGGAACTGCGGTCATCCCTAGTCTCACGATGCAATTAAGTTGGCCTGGGTCGTATATGTCTCGTTGTATGTAGTGGATGAACGTCGTGTGTCCTCGACCTCAATTCTTTTTCCATTAGTTTTAATTTCTTTTCAAATTCAACTCATTGGTTTATATAGAAAACTCATAATTATATTTTGCATAAAAGAGGAGTGCAAATAATTCATTGTCACTTGGAAGCATTGGAAGCTCCTCCGGTAGATCTTCCGATCCATTCATTCAAAAAAAATAATAATAATAATAATAAATCAAGACCTCCCTAGAAGAATTCAACTTGTCCTCTTTTAGCATCTAAATATATAGTCCTCTTTAGCATCCACTTGGGCCAGATATATATTTTCTAGCATCCACTTTTTCCTGCATTTCTTTAATTTTATTTTCTTAGATAAATGGTGAAACCATGCAAAGCGCTATCCATTTGAATTTGACCTCAGTGTTCAATGGTTGTAGTGTTCGAGATTCTTTAATTTGTAGCTGTGTGAATTGAAACCATAACCTAAATACACTTTTTATCAATTATTCAATAGAAAAAAAATGTGTTAAACAGAAAATGTAGGAAAATTAAAGATTATAACAATAAGCTTATGCCCAAGTGTATATTTTATCCTATTTTAATTTATAAGGAAAAACATCATATTAAGATTTTTTTCTATAGAATATTCAATTCATTATGAGTATTCTTAAAATATTTTATATAATCAAATCTCATGTATTATATCAAGCAAGAATATTTTATATATTATATCAAGTAAGAATATTTTATATAATCAAATCTCATGTATTATATCAAGCAAATCTTATACGTTTACTAATAAAGCAAATGCTATATATATATAATGTCAATTAAAATAAAAAATAAGATTTATTTTTAATTGTTCAATATAATTCTAATTCTATACATTTTGATATGTCAATTTTTAAACTTTTAAAAATATATATACGCATAGATAATAATAAATTCATTTGATCACATTACAAAGTAATGTTTTTAACCATTGAATGCAACAATTAAGATCTCCGTCACACATAATGCTGATGCTGACTTATTTGAGAGCACTTATTTGAGAGCACATAAATTACAGTAGTGTTCATTATGGAAATTAATTAATCATCAACTTAAAAGTGGAACTAAGGGAACACTTCAATGAGGAATGTCAAGCCAAATATTGAAGTTATTTTGTAGTATTGAAGTTATTTTGTAGTAAGTGAACCCCGACTCAATGAATAGCCTTTCCTCATTTTAAGATGAGACATAGCTTCATAGGAAGTCCAACATAATCCTCCACAGCACACAACATAATCCTCCACAGCATACATGATCATTCGCATCCTCCACAGCATACATGATCATTCGCTAGTCCGTAACGGTACTGGTACACAAATGACGCTATTGAGGACAACTTCCTATTTCATATTTTGAAGTGATACCCTATGCATATATAGGATTTAGGATTGAGACCTTGAGACCTCACTTATTTGAGAGCATGAGAGCACAGGGAAGGAATTTAAAATCATTTTTCCAAAAAGAAGGTATACCAAAAAGAAGATATACCAATCATAATTGTATGGTTATTGTTGTAAAATATTTTCATATTAGTAAAGTTTAATTATATTTTCACAAGGGTTTACATGCAGCAGTAACAAAGTGCATATACACCTATTCACCTGCTCTTTAGGCATTATTAGTAAAAAAGCATGCATATATAAACACAGACCCATTATCATAAAATACTAGGAATAGTAATCATAAAGATCCCTAACTCAATGAAATTACTCAAAATTATTAAAAAAAGAATTAAATTAAGCATTTGTAAATAGTTTCATTGAGAAACTAGTGACAATCTGACTTCAATTTCCCCACATGCTTTCAAACACCGCAAGCGATATTTCAAATCTTCATCACAAACCATACTAATCATTCTTCCATGTAAATCTCTGTACTTGAACTCAAGACCATCAATTTCCAACTTATTGAATCTCTTCAAAACTTGTGCCTTTAAACCATCAAGGGTAGGGTTGTTAAGCACAAACTTCACAGTATCTTTTTTGTATTTCAATTTCACCAGGAATTGTGTGCTTAGAACAACATTTGTCTGCATCATTGGATGTGGTCTCGATTCTTCGCTGTTATTGCTGCTGCTGATCCCAGAAATTTTGTTTTCCAGAAAGACTTTACAGATCACCCATTCATGGTTGCTCTCTAATCTGTACTCGTGCATTAACCAGTTTGTCTTTGTGATTTTGGGTATTCTTCCTTGGTAAAAAACCATGGTCCTCTTCATACCGAGGAGGGCTTTCCCCTTGAAGATCTGTGTGTCTTTTCCGGTGGTTTTCCAGTATCCTGAAGAAGTAGCTCTGAATATTCCGTTCATCCAATCTCTGGGGCTGAAGAAAAACCATTTTCTTCTTTCACCCTGCAAGGAAACACCAGGGAAATCCCAGGGATCAAGCTTTCTCAAATCCGCCTCGCCAATTGCCGGTGCGGAGAAGCTACTATCGCCCATCTTTCTCCATAGGATGTGACTAAGCTCTTCGTCACTTGGATGAAATCGGCGTTCCGATGGAGGAATTTTCGAAGAATCCATGAAACCTTTTTGATCGATCAGAGTTTTATTATTGATGAAATTGTGTTTAGGAAGTATTTGAGGAATATATTTATAGGGATCCAAGAGACCTAGTTAGGGTAAGATTGATAAAAATTAGAGTTAGGCCTAAGGGAGAAAGCGCAGAACTCGTAGGGATGACAATGGGTCGGGTGTGGGTCGGGGAGGGCTACATCCATCACCCGACCCACCTTATATTTTCTCCACCCACCCCCACCTCCAACCCGCATCGGGTGGACTTTTTCACAATCCACCCCCATCCCCACCGGATGCGGGTGCCCACTATGGGTACCCACCACTTATCATCTTATTATGTTTTTAAAAAAATAATATTTAAATTATTTACACATAATAAAAAAAATAATGATCATTAGTGATACTAAAACATAAATAATGGAAATATTTAAATATAATAACAAAATTGTTAATTTTTAAAAATAAACTTTTTTAAATAAACTTAGTAGTTTTGATATAAAAAATATTAAAAAGATACACGAGTTATATAAACTATTATAAATAACTACATACTAGTACTTATTTTACTATTATATATATATACACACACATGGTGGGTCGGGTGGGGTTCTAGACGGGTCTTGTACATAGAACCCGAATCCAACCCGACCCACCGCGGGTTTACTTTTTTAAGACCCACCTCCGACCCACCATCCACCATCACCCAAAAAAACCCGATCCATGCGAAGTGGATTCGGGTGGATATCCACGGGTCGGATTGAAATTGCCATCCCTACGCAGAAGTCCAGGGGAAAACGGTCTCTTGTTTTGAATCAAAATCAAGCCTTTTAACTGATTTCCTTTTTATTTAACTGATATCCTTCCTTTTTTATTTAACTTCCTTTTATTTTGTTATTTAATTTTGTAAATTTTTTTAATGAACACGGCTTGATTTTGTTTCCTTTTTTTTTTTTTTTTTTTTTTTTTTTTGGGGTTAACGGTTTCTTTTTTTATTTTTTTCTTTTTTAAAAAAAATTTTATATTTTATGTTGTAAATTACTATATTAAAATTTTATTAAATTTTGGTAGATATAGTATTTAAATTAGTTCTCGAATTTTTTATCTCGTAACCCAAATTTATTTTTATTTGAAATTAGAATTATAATAATAAAGTTACTAGGGTTTTGGATACGATTGGTAGCTACATCGATCGAGGGTTTTGGAAACCTCAATCCAAAAAAAGATACACAGCTAAGTTTAACCTAGTGAACCCAACTCTTAGAAAAACATTGATTGAGTGTACCAGTAAATGGATGGACAATCATTTGTTTTGTCGCAGATAATCCAGGTGAGATAGATTAACAATTTTTATTTGGCAATTCTTTAATTTTCCCTTTACTTTTTCTTTTCAAATTCAACTCATTGGTTTATATATAAAACTCATAATAAGTTTGCATAAAATAAAACAGGTGTTTGGATAATGCATTGTCCACATTATTGCATGGGGTTCGCCATGGCTTTTGATGGATACTCAATATGAAAACACCGTTGAACAACCTAATCCCGATTAAACCACTTAAACCCGGTCAACCACCTAATTATTACCCCATTATCGCACATTTATTTCCCTATCAATTACCCAGCAAATACCCTTAAAATCCCTTCATTATTTTGAATTACCATAACCCCTTAACTCTCTTCAATTCCGTTCTCTCAAACAAATCACCAACTTCAATCTCAAATATTTACTACCCCATTTACCACCCATCAATACCCACCAATGGCTATAATCTTGAACCACTACTCACTTGGCTATTATAAAAGGATATTCAAGAGCACAGAAAGGGGAACACATTGCTCTTCCTCCCACTAGGAGAGGACTCTTCCACTCTTATGAAGACTCCATTCTATCACTCTTCCTCACACCACATATCACTCAACCAACAGCTTCGATAGTGGAGAAGGGAATTACTGAATTGGAAGCATTGGAGGCTCCTCCTGCAGATCTTCCAATCTGTTGAGACTTGAGAACATACATCAGCTCACACCATTCAACTTAATTTTCATGCTTGCTTTTAATTTAGCTTCCAAGTATATATATATATATAGTCCTCAATTTTAATTTATTCCCTGCATTTGGGGCTGGCTAGTTACTTTGATTTCTAGCATCCACCTTCAATTCAATTCGCCTGCATTTCTTTAATTGTGTTTTGTTGGATAAAGGGTGGAACAGTGCAAAACAATAAGAATTGATATACATATATAAACATTCAGCCCCATTAACATAAAATTAAAGTATAATGAAATGCAATAATACTGAGAATAGTAATTATAAAGATCCCTAATACAATGAAATTCTATGGCTCTGTTTGGCAAACCTAGCTGAAAAGCTATAAGCTCGGAGCTGAAAGCTGAAAAGGAGCTGAAAGCTGAAAAGCTATAAGCTCGGAGCTGAAAACTGAAGAGCTGTTAAGCTAGCTGTTATGATTGAAAGTGTTTGGTAAAACTAGCTTTTTGATAAGCTGATAAATGTAAAAAGACTAAAAAGGACATCTTCATAAAATTTAAATTAGTTTGTTTACATATTAAAATTTGACATTTTGTCTTTAAAAAAAATTAATATTATGAAATAAAACTATTAGCATAATCATGATCTAGCATCCCATAATGATGTAGCAATATTGTTGCGAATCTCCTTCATCTCAGTAGAAGCCTGGCTTAAATTTTCGTTGATGGAGATATTACTACTTGAATCTTGAAGTTCATCGGGCGGTATGTAATCTGGATGCTGCTCAAACACATTAAACATCATGTCATCTTGTGAATTCTTCCGAATATAATTATGGAGTGCAAAGGTGGCCATAATAACATCAATTTGGGTCTCCACACTAAATTGTGGCATATTAGCAAGTATCTTCCATCTCTTCTTTAATACTCCAAACGACCTCTCGATACAACTTCGAAGAGAAGAATGTGCACGATTGAATGCTTCCTGAGCATTTGTTGGCGGCTCATGTTCAAATTGAGATTGATGATATCTTATTCTTGGATACGGTACCAAATATCCTTGTTTATCTGGATATCCTTTATCCACCAAATAATATCTTCCTAAAAAAAATATAACACTAAACTTTTATAATGAATAAAATTATATGATTTTAGAGTTAAAAAATACGAATATGATACCTTGTGGCGGCTTGGGAAAGTTCATTGATGGTGTATTAATTGCATGAAGAAATACACGTGTATCATGTGCTGATCCTTCCCATCCAACAGATATAAAAGTGAAACACATATCAAAGTTACACGCTGCCATAACATTGAAAGTAGGAATTCCTTTTCTCCCTCTATATCGCAATTGATCAACCTCAGGGATGCACGCTGCTATATGAGTACCATCAATACATCCAATACAATCCTATTCATCATATATATTAGATAATCAATCTTAAAATAATAATAATAATAATAATAATAATAATAATAATAATAATAATAATAATAATAATAATAATAATAATAATGGTCACATTTTACCTTGAAATATGGCATGTATCGTGGATCATTAGTAATGTAAGACGGTATAGATTGAAATGTAGGATCATCTGGTCTTATGATATCACGTGCAAGGCCTTTGTATCCGCTATTCCGACCACTAATTGCTTCCAAAACCTCATGAAATGCTCTACTTATTGTTTCACCGGAACGTTGAAATCGTTCACCAACATCTCTATTTGAAGCACCCATAGCAAGTGTGTATATAAATATACCAACTTTCTCCACATATGACATATTTCTAGTAGATTGTAATCCATATTTTGAATATAAGTCTTCACATAATTGCTTAAACAAATCGGAGTCCATTCTAAATGCATTTACACATCGAATAGGATGTCCATTCAACACTTCTTTCATCCATTCTTGTCCTCTAAAAAGTGAAGTCATACAAGGTTCTTTATAAATATATTTATAGTAATATGTTTTGGTTAAAGCAATTGTGGCATACGATGTTATAATTACACAAAGTGCTTGCTTTCTTTTTTTTCTTTTCCGCTCCAACTCCATAATGTACCTAATAAATATAAAATAATGAAACCAATATATTTTAATAAAATATAAAGTAAGAACATATATTTCAATATATAGAAAGTAAAACAAAATGAGCATTGAAATTATATATATATAAAGTAGTACAAGTTTTAATGTTCAAACACATAAATGTCAAATTGAAATTACAACCAAACATATTGAATAAAATGAGCATTCACTTGTTTGTATCATGCATATACTTCAACCAAGCTTTCCTAGAAGAGTCATCCTCAATATTGAAAAAAATTTCCCGATTCAAATCATCCTTAAGCAAGGTAAGAGAAAAACACCACAAATCTCCACCCTTTTCCATAATACCATCACTAACCATGCGGTTAACAACACTTATTGCTGCAGCAAGACTAAAACTTGTACTACTTTGAGTATTCATAGTACTATCAGATTGTAAAATGTCCAATGCTCGATTTGAATTTGAAATCAAACTCTCTAATTGATTAGAAAGTTTAGCTGCTCCTCCTGATTGTCTCCTCTTACGTTTCATTTGAGTGGGTTTAACACCAATATTTTGAGTGGGGTTATTACCTTGAGATTGTCTAGGTACTTGACTGCCACTAACATCCTGCTGACTACAACTAGAACGGTTCACCTCACTCATAAAATTATTCCAAAATGAAGACTCATCAACCTCCAAATCCCGCAATTGAGAAGAATGTTGGTTATCCTGAGAATATAGCACATCTTCAAATCCTTGCCCAGTCCTATTCTCTTCCTCAGTTTCTATATTTTCTTCCTCAATATCCACAGGTTGCACTAATTGAGGATCCATGGTGGGTGCAACACAACCTTCACCATTTGCATAGCTATCTTCAAATAACTTAGACCACAAATCTTCCATTGCAGTATCAATGGATTTATTACGAAATTTTTTATAGTCTGAGTTCTCCTACAAAAGAAATCAAATAATAAGTTTACAATCAACACCAAAATATTAGTATGTTTTAATCTTAAAAATCTATAATACAAACCTTGATTTTTTTCTCCCACCACTCATCGGAGCCACTAATCTTATTTGTACTAGGATCCCACCCTAAACCGGTTTCACCACGTTTCAGATGCTTCCAAGTTCTCCATTCTTTTTTCATAGCATCCCACTTATTCTTTAAACTTCGATGTGCAATTTTCCGTTTGGCGGTAGCTTCAAATTCTTCTTTAATCTCCTTCCATTTCATTAACCCACGTCCATGCTTTCGAATATATTTGATACAAATCTCACAAAAAAGCATCATGTTCTCGTTGGTCCACTTAAAATTCTCTCCATCCAAGTTGTCATTGGGTGAAGCCATATTGCTAATTTAGAAAGAACAATAATAATAATAATAATAATAATAATAATAATAATAATAATAATAATAATAATAATAATAATAAGCTAAAGTAGTAATTTAATGATCCTAAACAAATCAAAATGAATGTGCAAAATGAACACTGTAATTGGCAATTAAAATCAAATAATACTACTTAATATGTTTTTACTCCTAATACTACTTGAGCTTGGGTTTAAAATGAACACTGTAATTGGCAGTAATGCTCCTGGAATACCATGATCAGTGTAATCAAACATTGAGCTTGGGTCTAATGATCATGTTTTTACATGGTATGCTAATATATATTATCATGCTAATAATAAAATCAAATAATAGGAGTTGCAGAGAACATAATTTATGAGAAATCAACCATGATTAAGCTCCATATAGGCATCTACAAGAATAAGTTTTTGACACTTTATTCCCACTAGGCACATTGGCCGAAACATGATCATTAGACCCCTTTGAGATACCAACATTAGAAGCAGCCAAATGAATTGATGCACTATTCACATGGACAGTAACACTTAGGCATCTAAGGTTTATATTAATTCCAGAATTATGCAAACTTAAAAGAAGTAACACCACAACTAGCATTATTAAAAGCATTGTGCACATTCAAAGAAGTAGAAATATTATTTACTCTCTATGCATTACAACCATGAATACTATTAGTTCAGACAATAACACAAATACCTAGCAGACCTATGGCTTTGCATCATGCTGATAGTTCAGACAATAACACTAAACAGTTTTATGGTCAAACAGTCCATCCACTTAAGAAGAACAAGACACACAAAATCATTATTTAGGATGCCCAGCCAAACAGATACATACCTGCGGATTGATGCTATGGCTATTGGACTATTGCGGACTGCTGAGTGCGATGGATGATGCTCCTGCGGAGTGAAAATGAGGGTTGGCGATGGATGATTCTTCTGCGGAAGGCAAATGGGGGATGGCGAACCTTATGCGGAATGCAAATGGGGAGGAGATGGACGAGGCTTATGCGAATGGTCGAAGACGAATGGATTGTCGTGAAAGTTGCCAGGAGAAGAGAAAGAGTTTTAATTCAGAATTGAAGGGTAAAACATGTCATTACTTTCAAATAATAAGGGCAAATATGAAAAAAAAGTTAGGAAGCTCCTAGCTTATTTTGAAACGCTACCTAAAGTAGCGTTCCAAAATAAGCTCTTATTTTAAGCTAGGAGCTTATTTTGGAACATTACCAAACAGAGCTTATAGCTTATTAGTAGCTTAAAATAAGCTATAAGCTCCTAGCTTATCTCTGCCAAACAGAGCCTATAGCTAGCTATACCAACTAACAAAATTTGTAAAATTTCGTTAAAAAATAATTGACTTATTTGTCAATTAGTTTCATTGAGAAGCTAGTGACATTACAACTTCAATTCTGCCATATGATTTGAAATTTCTTCCATTTTGTTTTCCAGAAAGACTTTACAGATCACCCATTCATTCTGTAACGATGATAAGTAGCTTCTCTCCAAACTGTACTCATGCATTAACCAATTTGTCTTTGTAATTGTGGGTGCTCTTCCTCTGTAATAAACCATGCTTCTCTTCATACCAACAAGGGTTTCCCCCTTGAAGATCTGTGTGTCTTTTCCGGTGGTTATCCAGAATCCTGAATAAGTAGTAGCTATGTTTATTCTCTGCTCTATGGCCCTGGAGCAGAAGAAAAACCATTCTCTTTTTTCACCCTGCTTGAAAACACCATCCCGTGGATCAAGCCTTCTCAAATCCGCCTCACAAATTGCCGCTGCGGAGAAGCTACTATCGTCCATCTTTTTGCACAAGTACTGAGTTATAATCTCTTCGTCAGTAGGAAGAAATTTCAAAGAATCCATGAAACCTAGCTTTCCGATCACGAGTCTTATTATATTGATGATGATGATCAAATTGTATTTAGAAGGAATATATTTATAGAGATTCAAGAGACCTAGTTAGAATAGAATTGGTAAAAAGTAGAGTTAGGGTATCTCTAAAAATCTCTAATCAAGGAGGAAGAGAAGGGATAAAAGGAAGAAACCGAGAAGACTTTAGGGGTTGTTTACTAAAGTGGAGAATTGGAGAATTTTCCAGAAAAACAGAAAAATGAAGAAGTGGAAAAATGAAAAATGGAAAACATGTTTATTAAATTTCTTTCTCCAATTATGTTTTCCATCTCCAATTCTTCCGCCTATGTACAAATTTGGAGGGAAAAAAGGTCAAATAAGCCCTTAAACTTTACCTAAAAAGTCAATTAGGTCCATGAACTTTTAAAATGTGCAATTACAACCTTTTACATGTTAAATGGAGTCAATTAAACCCAACAACCTGTAAGTGACCTATTATTGCAGGTCATTTCTGTATTCCGACGAAATTCCTGTGGCCAGTTGGCCGTAACCGTCGCAGGGAGAAAACTTCGGGTTCCGGAGATCATCCTTGGTGAGAATTGTACAGCACAGACGGGGAACTGTATTGAATTCCTCGACGGTAGTTGCCGGCCATGAAGCACTATCGTCGCCGTCGACGTAAGTGCACCGCCGCCAACCCCGCCGCATGCAGCTCGCCACCACCACGCTCCCCACCCCACATGAAACCGACATAACAGAATCTACTCATTCCTAGTTCTAGTTTTACGATCGATGAATTGAATTAGATTAAACGATGAGATTAACAATTGGATTCAGAATTCATTTGAATTTAAGCATTATATTAATGGAGGAATTTGAAGTCGCAGACGGCGGAAACCAAAACATTGGAAGAAACGCATTGAATTTCAAAGATTATAACTTCCTTTAATCCCATAAGCTTCAGCTAAGCCATTGAATCTTCTTCTGCTGTTTTCCATGGAAGCTTCTAGCACAGTCAATTTTCATGTTTTTACTTCTTTTTTTTTTCTTTTTTTTTATAATGAAAAAACACCCATTAAACATGTTAAATGAATTTAATAAGACCGTTCTTAAATTCTAATGATGGGCAGAGCTTAAATTTATGTTCGCAGTTGCCGGTCGCCGGAATTTCACCGGAATACAGAAATGACTTGCAATAGTAGGTCACTTATAGGTTGTTGGGTTTCATTGACTCCATTTAACAAGTTAAAAGGTGTAATTGCACATTTTTAAAGTTTATGGACCTAATTGACTTTTCAAGTAAAGTTTAGAGGCTTATTTGACTCTTTTCCCAATTTGGAGAATACAAAATAAGTCTTCTCCATTTGGAGAAATGGAGAGACGCGCGGATGAATAGTGTTATTTTCTAGGAGGTCTCAATGTCGAATCCTGTAGCCAACTTCTTCTTTCTTCCTTGTTTTGTTCCCCTGACTTCCCCATTATTCTTTCTTCCTTGTTTTTTCCTTCATCTTTCTTCCTTGTTTTGTTCCCCTGACTTCCCCATTATTCTTTCTTCCTTGTTTTTTCCCTTCCTTATTCTTTCATCCTTTTTTTTTTACGTATCTTTTCATTCTTCCCCATTTTATTATTATTATTATTATTATTATTATTATTATTATTATTATTATTATTATTATCTTTGTTGTAAAAATGTACAAATATTTATTATTATTATTATTATTATCTTTTTTCTTTTTTTCTCTTTATGCACACATATTTGTTATTATTGTTGTTATTATTATTATAAATATTATCTTTTTTTTTCTCATTCTTATGCACACGAATTTGTTGTTGTTGTTGTTGTTGTTGTTATTATTATTATTATTATTATTATCTTGTTTCCTTTTTTTCTCCTTATGCACACATATTTGTTATTATTGTTGTTATTATTATAAATATTATCTTTTTTTTCCTCATTATTATGCACACGAATTTGTTGTTGTTGTTGTTGTTGTTGTTATTATTATTATTATTATTATTATTATTATTATTATTATTATTATTATTATTATTATCTTTGTAGTAGAAACGTACAAATGCTATATGAGATGATTGTATTTAATAAAATCAGAAAATGAGAGAAATGAAAAATTAAAGGAATGGGAATGGAAATTAGAAAATTGGAGAAATGGAAAACTGGAGAAATGGAGAAGGAAAACTGGAGAAATGGAAGAATGGAAAACTGGAAATGGAAAAACAGAGAAATGAAGTAAACGACCCCTTAATTTTTTTTTTTTTTTTTTCTGAATGCTAGTAACTCTGTTACAAGACTCAACAAGGTCTCCACTGATGAGAGAGGTCAGTACATGTCATTTGAGTACAATGTGCTTGGTAAGAAGACTTTAATTTATATTATTATTATTTAAAAAAACAAAAATCTTGTTCAATCAAAAATCAAGCCTTTTAAATGATTTCCTTTTTATTAGCCTTCCTTTAATTTTCGGCTGGATTTATTTAAGTGACAGCTTTCCTTTTATTTAATTTCCTTTTATTTTGTTATGGAATAAGGGTCAAATAGGCCATCGAACTACACATCAAACTTCAATTAGGCCATCCAACTAAAAAAAACAACAATCAGGTCCTTGAACGTTACAAATTCAAGCAATTGAACCTAAAGTGACTTGCTAAACAGGTAAATAGATGACGTGGCAGTTATTAAATTATTTTTTATTTTAAAAACTTTTTAATAATTCTTAAATAATAAAAGTTTTGAAAACAAAACAAAACAAAAAAAAAAAGGGAAAACGTCGAAAATTTACATCAAACAAAAAAAATTCGTCGTTCTCCTACAGTTTGACGTTAACAATGGAGCTTCCTTTTCCGGTGATGGAGACGGATCAACGGCAACGAAGGCACGCCGCTATGGACCGTCGTGTTCTGCAAATCGTCGGCCGGATGGTTCGACGCGGCTGAGTGCGGGCAGATGGCGGCGGTGTTGGCGTTGGCGTTAGTCGAGGCGGAGCTGGGTTTATTTTTCCCGGTTACGACTCTTCTGCTGTCTTCCTTCTCAGACGACGCCGGCAACCATTCTCGGCTATTCGTCGCTGCTCTGCTGGATTAGGCCGGTGGCGATGTCGGCGGTGAAAATGAGGGTGATGCTGACTGCTGAGATCAAGATTGCAGTAACATATAAGAGACAGCCGAAGAAGAAGGGGAGTGGGTCGCCGGTGGTTTTTCCTTTCCTTTTTTTTGTTTTTGTTTTTTTATTTAAAAATTATTAAAATAAATTTTTAAAATAAAAATTAATTTGATAACTGCCATGTCATCTAATTATTGGGTCAACAGGTCACTTTAGATTGAATTGCTTGAATTTGCGCCGTTGAGGGACCTAATTGTAACTTTTTTGAGTTGGATGGCCTAATTGCAATTTAGTGTGTAGTTCGATAACGTATTTGACCCTTATTCTTTTTGTTATTTAATTTTGTAATTTTTTTATAGAAAAATTACACTTTTTTTCCCTGAGTTATATACATATATCACTTTTTTCTCTTGAATTATTCAGGTAAGCACATTAGCCCCCTCAATTATTCTAAAAGTGGCGTTTTCCCCGCTGATATATTAAATTGACATTTCTACCCTTAAAGTAAACATTCTATTTATTTTTCTTCTCCAACAAATTATTGCGTATACGTAGGGATGACCACGGTTCGGTTCGAACTGAACCGGACACTATAGCAATCGAATCAAATGTTTTCGGTTATGATTCAGATCCAGAACCCAATATTTAGATTTCAATTTATTAAAATTATGAATCGAAAAAACAAGATCTTGAACCGTGAACTGGCAGTTCCGGATCCGTTTTCGCGATTTTGAACCGTCTTTATTTTAAAATTTTATTTTTTATTTTAAAATAGTCTAAATTCAGCAATAAATGTATTTATTTTTTTCAATTTGAAATATGAACCGGCCGTTCCGGTTCGCGATTTTATTAAACTCCAAATATCGGGTTTCGATTCTAAATTGTAATTGAAATATTTCGATTTGATTGCTATAGTGTCTGTTTGGGTTGAACCAAATTGTGGTCATAATTTATTGGAGAAGAAAAATAAATGAAATATTTATTTTAAAGGTAAATATGTCCATTTAACATTTCAGGAGAAAAATAGCCACTTTAATTATTTAGGGAAAAAAAATACTATATAAATATATAACTCAGGGAAAAAAGTGTTATTTTCCTTTTTTTTTTTATGAACCAAAATCAAGACAGTTTTTTTTTTTTTTTTTTTTTTTTGGTATATCAAGCCGAATTAAACGGCTTGACTTCCTTTTGTATTTTTACTATTATTATTTTTTTTAGAAGGGAAAATGGCACTTTTTCCCCCTGTGTTGTTTACATATAGTATATTTTCCCCCTGTGTTGTTTATGTAACCACTTTATCCCCCTCAATTGTTTTTGAAGTGGCTATTTTCCCCATCTCCGTTAAATAAGTGTTAGGGCTGTTAAATATGAGGGTAAAAATGACATTTCACTTATTATTATTATTATTATTATTATTATTATTATTATTATTATTATTAAAATATAATAAACTATGTTACCATTTCTTTAAATTAATACTCCGTATAATTTAACTTTTTTTATTTTTAATTTATTAAAAATATTATTAAACACAAAAAAATTAACGAAGTAACTAAAAAAGAGTTAAATTAATTAATAAATTATAAATAAGATAAGTAAGATGAGACAGAGAAAATAAGCACTATCATAAAAAAAAATGATTTAAGCACATAATAATAATAATAATAATAATAATAATAATAATAATAATAATAATAATAATAATAATAATAATAATAATAATAATAATAATAATAATAAGTGAAATGCCATTTTTACCCTCATATTTAACAGCCCTAACACTTATTTAACGGAGAGAGGGGAAAATAGTCACTTCAAAAACAATTAAGGGGAATAAAGTGGTTACATAAACAACACAGGGGGGAAATATGCTATATGTAAACAACACAAGGGG